TTTTAATCTAAATAACAAATGTAAAGAAATCGAAGACATTTTCCTATGCGAGCAATCTTCACTAAACTCGAATGAACCTTGCATCTTGGAAACCTTCAAATCAACCAATCATTGTCTAATGTCACCGATCGAAATAAAAGAATCATCGATTACCCAATTAAGAGACAATTCAATATTAATAATTCCAACAAAAACGGAAACAATCAATTTTCAATGTCCACACCAAAACTCCATTGAAACAATGAAATTCCCATCATTGATAATTCCAGAACAATGTGTAACGGAAACTAACGAATTAACTTTTCAACCCCAAAACTCGAACACAATCAACTTACGGTTGAAACATCCAAAAATCAAGATCAATGAAGACTTAAAGGAAAAAATAAAACCTTTACAAATGAACAAAATTAATTTGGAAAACCTTCATGAGGCCTTGAATAATATCAAGAAACTTACAACTCACGAGTTGAAAGAATTTGACGTACTTAGTACAAGTGTATCAATTACAAGTTTCATAATAATTGTAATAGTAATTTTTGTAATTGTAATATTGTACTTTTACCTTAAAAAGAAGAACAATGTAAAGGTGGACATAAAACTGAAACCTCTCGAAAATTTAAAACCCCAATTTTCTCAAACTTAAAGAGGGAGGAGTTATATGACCACTTACGCAGACCACTGTATATTTGAATCAATAACTGTCGATGCAGCATTTAATCACTATATAAGCTGCGCATTCGGCATGAGGAAATTAGTCTTAAGTTAGCAGTTAAAGTTGTTAGTTCGCTGTTGAAAGAATCTATTTTTGGTGTGTAAAAATAAACGTTTTTTAAAAACTAAGTTTTTACATCCAGAAACAAAGTTCTATCTTCGCTTGTTTGGCAATTCGATTAGTTTCTAAGGAGCTCAATGCCAGACTCGCTTACTTCTCTCTATTTGAGGCTCACATCCGCTGCGGCCCACCCTTTTGGGGCTGCTATCACACATAGCAATTTCGAAGTATTATTAAACTTCAGAAAAGAGCTATTCGCTACTTGTTAGGCCTGAAGAGTGGAGCTCATTGCGAGCACTACTTTAAAAACCAGAGAATGCTTACACTTCTCGATTTATTCATCTTGGAGACTGTCTGTTTGATACGCAAACATCGAGTCACCATTCCAGAAGGACCACAACATAGGTACCCTTCCCGAAACTGAAGTCAAGATATTTGGCTGCCCTTTTCCTCCTCGGAACTAATTAAAAACTCAATTATTTACAACGCCAAGAAATTATATAATCATCTTCCACCCCATCTTAAATATCTCCCTAGGTCTTCTAAATTTCGGGAGGGGACAAAAGCATACTTCCTAAAAGGACCTTTTTATTCTGTGACTGATTTTTACTTGGTGTTTCTTGCTTTTTCTGAGTTTGGCTTTTCAACTTCATTAAATTAAACTTTTTCGTTTGGGCAGCCGGTGTTCCTTGTTATGGTTTGGGGTGCTACTTGATTCCATGAACCCATGTTTTCTAATTTTAATTTGTGTGATTATTCTGCGGCGCTTGTCACGATAGGTGGTTGACTTACTCTGATGACCTCTGTGTTTGTAACTTCTGTGCATAACGATTGTACGTGATATATTTTGTACCGTTTTGTTATATCTTTTTAATTTTTCGCCATTGTTGACTGTACTGTACGTACTTTATGGTGTAGTATTTTGTTTTGTTTTTTTTACTCGATTTGTCCAAAAAAATTGTGAATTTTTGCCTGGCATTCAAGCATATTTTAATTTTATTAGATTTTATTACTAGAGGAAAAATTTCAAAATTTTGTGAACTGCATTGTAAAATTAACGGAACGTGATGCGTATGCGGAACGAAAATGCTAATGCGTATATTTTGACAGGGTCAATTACATTGTGCCAATCTCATTACGCGTAAATAGGCGAATATAAAACCTATCCCTTCCCCAAAAGTGTTTTCCGCTGCTAGTTATCGATCAAACTTCGTATCACGTTTCTTTCAATTGTAAAGCTTCAGTAATGGCTTATGATAAGTGCAATTTTATTGTTAATAGTGAGATTTTGTATGTGAATTTATTCATTTTAGAATGGCCAGTACATCGACTACTTGGTTTTTGTTTCAGGAAAACCCAAAATTGTATTGAAAATAAAGCAAGAAAGGAATGGAAAGCAAAATGGGGATTTTACTTAGATCTAGATAAGGTTATTGAAAAAAACATTGTTTAACAGAAAAATATCATTATTTTAATTTATTTTTGAGCAGATTATTATCGACGAGGCAAAGCAACGAGGATTGTCTGAGTCTGAATACAAAAGAATAGTTATCAAGAAAAAGCCAAAGGGTACTAGAGAACCTTATATATGGATCACACATTCCAATAGAGGTGGGCCCATGCTTAGTTCAGGTACCTACTTATTTAAGCCGAATTGATTGGTTAGTCTAAAACATTTGTCTCTAAAAAAATCGTATTAACTAAAAAGCAACCACTGCATTAAAATCGAGACAGCAACTATTAAAGACGTTGTTATGGCCCAAATACTACACTTGGCAACAGAGACAAAAATGCCTCTGTCGCATTTAAGACAGACTAGTACTGTATCCGTTTCCAGAGAAACAAAAAATATAACAAGTCAGTCATCCGTCACGCTCCGGAGTGGCTCAAGTGCACTCAGGTGGTTAACCGCCTAATATCAATATAATAATATAATATAAGGAAAGAAATTAATTGTTGCATAGGGTTCGTACCGATTGCAACCTTAATTTAAGCATAGGTTTAGTACCGATTGCGATTTGTAATATTTGTGGGCTGTAGAGTGTCGAGGAAATACAGAGTAAGCAGTTCATTGTTAGTCTCCCTTTCCAAACCCCCATGAACGGAAGTGTTACGTTCAGACGTCTAATGACTAACATCGTGGCTTCTCTTATATTTAAATCATGCTGATCATAACGGAAACGATACCTCGACTTATTTTTACAGAATACTCGATATAAGTGACAATATAATTGCCTATAAATCATTTGTCATATTTTTTTAGGGGAAATTGGTTGGAGAGCAGCAGACGAGTGTTCTCTAGAAAAATTCGGCACGCTCTATAGAAGTCCCAAGTTTACCGTCCCTCAAACCAATCGATACTCTTCGATATTCTTAGGTTAAATAACAGAAGAAAGTGCGAAGTACATGATAATGTTTTATGGATAGAGCAACTAAGTAACAAGTTTCACTTGGTCAACGTCGATGTCATTATGCAAGTTCTCCATCTGTATTGTTTTGTTCCTATTGATAAGAATTAGTTTAGTTTTGGCCTAGTAAATCTGCAGACCCAACTGTTGGCTTTCATTTGCCACGAGTTCAATTAATCCAGCCAGTTCTTCTTCGCTTCGCTCGCAAGTGACCGTATCACAGACTGTTCTACTCCTCTGAATAATATTGTCTAAATTATAATTTTCAAATAATATAGATATATCGCAGGTGAAAAATGCCAAAGGTACCTTATCCATCGGCCCATGATAAAATACGCCATTACAATCTGTCGCACTATCCAATTGCAGTTGTCGGAACACGACCACCACGAATACGGCCGACTTTAGGCTGCTGTGGTGAAGCACTACTACCAGATCCACCAGAATCAATCAACATATCCAGCTCAATCCACCCCAATAAATCAACAAACCAACTATTAATAGAATAAATGTATGAATTGGGTTCCGAAATTGTGTAAACAGAAAATAACATTGCAAAACTAATATTATATCAAGGGATGCCGATTATGAAATATGAATTGATTATAGCCAAAACAGAAGGAAAGAGAGCAGCCAGTAAATTCCGGGTTGTTGAGGGTTTTGGATCCCAAGGCATCCAGATAAGTACAATTCTTTTATTGCCAATAATAAATTTAAGCACCGCCAAAACAAATTTCAGCAAAACCACTTTATACCCTGTCTTGCTATCAGTCATCACTTTATTAATCCGATCCCTCGACTCCTCCACGAACCTACATCGTTCAATTCCATGATACTAATACTAACAAGATAAGCTCACTTGCCGAAAGAATTTTGAAGAGAAGCGCGCATGGTGTCACGGTGTGATAACAATGGATGGCGACCATTAGCGAAGCACAGCGTTTAATATATTTCCTGAACGATTTCTTCTATTTTGACGGTATTGATAAATAAATAATATATTCTATTTATGATTTGTCTATGAACGGATGATTCATGATGATTTATCCAACTATTTTGTTTGTTCATTTCATGGAAACTGTAAGAATGGTTGGCTCTAGAGTGTTAGTGGGTAGGTACGTTTAATGAAAGTAAAATTGCATGTCATATACATTTATTTACTTAATGAAACACATTATAATACATAATAATTAACTCATCACAACATAACAATTGTTACGAACAACGACGAAATAGTACGACGATTTAAAATAAACGTGGCAAGAAGTTTCCGCGGAACAAAGAAAATAATATCGCCCTAGAGGGGTAACAAGGATTGCCGGGTCTCGTCTCTTCCGCGGTGCAATCGCAAGAATCGAGAGTTGTTGATTGACAAGCCAAAGCGCATTTTGCAACTAGTGTTTGCGTTATCTTAAAACAAAAACCTCTTTCAAATATTTTCCGCTCACACCAGAGCACCCTTTGAACACGCTTCTCCTCAGCGGTTCTTTAAAGGTAGTGTATTGGGGCTACTGCGTATTTTCGTACCAGAAACAATCAGAAGAAGCCGCCGCAGACAGATTCAGACATGTCAAGTTACTGTTCGGAACCCGAACCGTTTAGTTTGTCAACACGTTTATTTTATTTTAAATAAAATTTATTTAAAATACTTAATACAATGTTATTAATTTATTGTATTACAATTATAAATCAACATCGAAAGCAATAGCTCAGCCATGTGAAGATGAATATCACACAGACGAGGAAGAGCTGGCCAAAGAAACTGAATGGATAAGAACGAAGCACAACACCAAAAA